CGTACAACAAAACATAACACAATTTGCAAAAATTCACAATTTGACCGAACATAAAATGGCATCTTCATGGAGCTGTAGTAGATTCAATTTTCAGTGGAATGCTTCCGTTCAATTGATTTTTGGTCAAATCAAGCAAATCCAAATCAATTAGTTATGGTCGTAGCAAGTTTCTCAACAATTTTACTATATTCTTCAACTATATGTATAACTTTTCTACTTAAATAGAATAAAACAGACTGAGCTGTATAACATATATATAATCACACGTATAATGTAGATGCGTATAACGATTGAGAGCATGATCCGCATATAAAGAGAGAAAATTTAAAGACAGATTTTTATATTTTATATTTGTTATGGGAGGAAGAGGAAAAGTTTCTTAGCAATTATATATATGTGTATTATATAAATTAAAAGTTTTATTTCATAAATCGGTAATATAGATGTGTGTATAATTACTGAATGTGATGAATAATTAAAATAAAAGCTTATGAGTTTTTTTTAACAAAAAGGAAGAGTTTCTCAATATCTGTATATGCTTCTATTTTAATTAAAGGAAAAATCTATTTTTTAATTACTAAAATAAGAAAATGTATATAAAGAATAAAAAAATGCTTTCACTTTTATAAGTAGTATAAATGTAGATATATGTGTTGTTGCTGAAGTCACGTGGCTAACTCAACACATATTGAACGGAGGGAAAAATGACGATGATGAGTGGTTGCTAATGCCGTGACTGGCATCATTGAATCGAGATTGTAGACATAGAATTGGAGAAAATTAGTTTAAAATTTGAGTAAAAAATCATCAAATTTCAATTTCAAGGCATCATCAATTTGCTCTCAAGTATATCATAAATGTATTGGGAAATAATTGGATACACAGAGAGTTATTATTATTTTATAAGAATGGCAAATGAATTTACTGGGATCTTTGGAGGTACATCCAATAGCATGAAGGCCAAACATCTATATGTAAACAGGACGAATCTAAAAATTCATAAGAAAGTCTAAAAATTCATATGAGGAGGGCATAGATGCAACACGAATTAATTGACTCTTATTATCTCGCAAAACCAGACCCCTCCCTCCACAAGTTATGGGCAACAAGTAGATAGAGGGGCATGGACGTTGAGTTACACAGAGGAATTGGAGTTGTTTGGTAGAGATGGAGTTGTTATGGAAGAGGACATAAAATCAAAGTGGACTTTTATTTGGGTCAACTGTAGAAAACATTTTTAATGTATACTTTGTGCATCACTTTCGTCTCTATTTGAAAAAGTGTACTAAACACACTCATATTAAGGATAATACTTGCCTACTTACCGATGAGTAGGAAGTTCATACTCAATGTGTCGTAAAAACATAGTGACAAGTGTCACATGATAAAAAATAAAAGATTCAAAATGTTATCCGGGTTTAACCCAACATGATTCAAATCAAACCCTAATCCTCTCCCTCTCTCTCGTACTTGCGAAAGCACTTCTCACATATTTTCACGGTAATTTGATATTATTATGATGTTTTCTTAAGAAACAATATGATCAAAATCAAATCTTAATATGATGTTTTCAATGTGCGGTATAAACATCAAATAAAAAACAAAATGTAAGGGGTTTGCAAATGGGCCTCAACCATCCACAATTCCTATGAATGTTGTAGTCAGCCTCTGGCCAAGAATTGGAATTTCCAATACAAATTATTATTTTTGTTAAACATCTCTCCTCCCATGTCCCAACCTGCTCGAATGATTGATTACCTTTTCTTAAACAAAGTCTTCTTGATTCTTAATTTCTTAAATTATTGTAAATCCTGAAATTTATTTATTTATATTATTTATTTATTTTATTTTTTCTGAAATTTGATATAGCATTTAATATGCATGGGATGAAGACTGCTAGAGAAAAACTGAGGTGTTGGACGGAAGGTTAAGCAGCCGGGAGTGAGAGATAGAATAGAATTGGGCAAGTAGGATAAGATAGAGAGACATGCTAGGGTTTTGGTAGGGTGAAAAAGATATAGACAAGAATTATATTAGGATTTGATTTGGATGCTATTCGGTTTAACCTGAATAGCCTCTTAATTTTTTTATTTTTATTTTTATTATTTTGTATTGTTGGACACATGTCACTTTATTTAAAGTTGTGTGAAAATACCCCCCAATCAAAATTTTGACATTTAGTAATATTATAATACCCATTTTGCCCTTTTACTCTTTCAAAAATATTCAAAGGTGTGTGTATGTTAATAATATCATAGTATAGGAATGTTATATGCACATTGCCTATATTTAACCCACTTTTAAGGATTTTTTATTTTAGTTGTCAGGGTAATATACAGTATATCATATCGAATGAAAACTTTAGTTCTTTTTATAATTATAAAAAAGAATATATATATATATATATATATATATATATTTTTTTTTCAATTAAATATTAATATATTTATCAGTTTTCAATAAATATATAGCCAAAAAAATAAATTAAAGATACTTATTTCTTATATATAAACAATATACATATAATTTTTTAAATTTTAGAATTTGCAATAAATTTCACACACACACACACACACACATATATATAATTCTTTACATAGCAACAAATGGTTATTCAATCTTTATTGAGGAAAAAAAAAAAAAATGAGTGTTCAATCACTTACGGTCATCCTATTATTCAAATCGCGATAAAAATACGTTCTTAATTAAATCTAATCATTAAGGTCAAAAAATTCAAAACAATAATAGTTTATAAAGTGTAGCAAATACCCTTATAATATGCTTATAGTGCGTATCACACCTCATGTACTAAATGACAATTTTTGTCATTTCATAAAATGATGCATTTTAAAATAATACGTAAAATGTGTATATAAAGGAAATTTAGTCAAACTATAACTTAAATGTGTCAGGAGGGGTTTATTTGCATTTAATTGAAACTTTAGAGATGTTTTCTGCATATGAGGAATGTGATATGCACTGTAAGTATATTTGGGGTATTTTTTTGCACTTGATTCTTTTTATTTTAAATCGGGTGAACCCGTTGAATCGATTGATCCAACTTTTAATATTAGGATAGGTGTCAAAATATTATTGGGCCACATACCTGTAGAAGGAACTTCCTTATTCTATGGTCTAAGGCAAGTATTGTTGAAAATTAATAAATAAAGGACAATACTTGAAGTTTATCCTCCCAAGTGAGGTGGACCAATAAAATTAGAACACATATTCAAAAAATTTTAAAAATAAAAAGATGGGTATTATCAATTTTTTAAGGGTTAAACCGTGTGTGGTTTTTTTTTTAATATTTTTTTCATATTTTTTTTTTATCTCTCGCATTCTTTCTTTCCACACTCCACGTTCTTTCATCCCTACCACAGTTCACAAAACCCTAATTTTTGTTCTTCTCTTATGTTAATCCCGCAATGCTATACTCATGGCAATGATTGTTCATATTCCAAGGATTATTCATATTCTTAAAGCTGGTATGTTCATATTTTATATGATAAATTACACTCAGATCTCCTGAGGTTAGGTTATTTTTCAGTTATATTAACATTTTGGTTTTAGATTTCACTTATATTTAAATTAGTGGTTTAGCATTTCACTTACACCCCAAATGTCAATTTTTAATGGGTTAGAGTATTTTTGAGTTGTTAAATGACTCTTTTTGTGACCAAACTACCCCTCTGTCCTCATGTTGACTCTTTTTGTGACCAAACTACCCCTCTATTTGTCTCATCTCCTCTCCTCTTCTTCCTCCTCCACCATCATCATCCCCATCCATCACCCAAATCCCACTTCAAATAGTTTCAAATAATAAAAATCATAAATAAAAAAAATAGTTTGATTAAAATGTTTAATGCTACAGGGAAAAGAAAAGAATAGGTCTTTTATCCATGGGTTTTCATATAAATTCTTCAATATGCAACAACAACGCCCCCAGACAATAAATAAAATGATGATCAGACAGGCCAAACATAACTGTGACCGTGATGATCATTTGTTGAAATTAGGAAAGTAATAAAAGAGATAATTCCACTAATTTAGGCATCAAACAGAACCAATGAACCACTCATGTTTTTTCACACAGAAGTTTAAGCAGATAATTAACAGGAAGAAAAAAATGAAATAGTCTTCTTATAATAATATGAAGTAATTTTATGCCTTCAATGGAATTGCCTTATTCCAATTGCGGCAGAAAATAGAACAAAGTTTAAATGTTTCATGGATGGAAATTGAACAACTTTCATTTCTCAGTGGCATCCAAATGAACCCTTAAGTTTCTTTTCCTAATTCTCAAAACCTTGTATCCTAATATTTAAGATGAATGGTATAGGTTCCAGGCAGAAACCTATCTGAGTAAATCCTGATACATTCATAACATTATTCATTAGGAAAGGCAAACCCATTTCCTCGCCGGTAAATCATCTTTGGTCACAGCTCAGTTTTAGTTTGTTGTCGGAAGTTCGCGGCTGTTAAATATAAAAGAGAGAACTCTGTATATTGTATTGATGTGAGATAAGATGTATACAAGAGGGGTTTATATAGGAGAGGTTATGTGTGATGAACAAGTAAACCATATATGTTTATGGTAACTATACATATGGTAATCCTATATAAGATAAACCTATATATGATAATCATATATAAGGTTAGAATATATTATACAATATAGTAATAATATATTTTAACAGCCCCCCTCAAAATCAAGGTGGATTAAATGAAACCAGTTTGAGTTTGGAAATGAGATATTGAAAGCGGCATGATGGAAGCGATTTAGTGAAGATATCAACGATCTGATCATGTGAAGTGATAGACCGCAAATATAAGGTCTTCTGAAGAAGATGATGATGAACGAAATGACAATCAATCTCAATATGTTTAGTGCGTTTATGAAAAACATCATTATGTGCAATCTTGATTGCACTCCTATTATCACAATAAATAAAAGTGGTAGTGGATGAAGAAACTCCCATGTCTTAAAGGAGCCAACGCAACTACAGAAGCTCAGAAGTAGTATCAGCAAATGCCCTGTATTCAGCTTCTGTGCTATATCGTACAACCACAGTCTGTTTCTTGCTGCGCCAAGAAATAAGTGAATCACTAAGAAAGAAACAATAGCCTGTGGTGGAATGACGATCTGTAGGATCTCCTGCCCAGTCTGCATCGGAATAGGCACGAAGAATAGGCGATGATTAGGAAGAAAAATGCAGTCCATGAAACATAGTGCCTTTGAGATAACGAAGGATGCGATGAACAACAGCAAAATGAGTGGACCGAGGGGCAGTCATGAACTGACTAACGATGTGGACGGCATAAGAGACGTCGGGACAAGTGACAGTGAGATAAACCAAACTACCTACCAATTGGCGATACAAAATACCATCTCGAAGAGATTCTCTATCATGTAGATTAAGTCTTGTATTGCACACAAGGGGGGTATCAACAATCTTGCTGTCAGTGAGACCTGATTTTGAGATAAGATCGGATATATATTTTGCCTGAGTAAGATAGTAACCATCTGTAGATGTAGTTATCTCAAGACCAAGAAAATAACTGAGAGGTCTAAGATCCTTCATCTCAAACTGACGATTGAGAAACTTTTTGAGCTCCTGAATTCCCACCAAATCATCACCAGTAATGATCATATCATCAACATAAAGTAAAAGGAGAATGAGGACACCAAAATGACCCGGGCTTAATATAATCCGTACTGCAAAGGACGGGTCGGGTATGGACAAACATGATGGAGCAAGTTCGCGCGGGATGGGCCCAGGTTCATAAAGTCATTACAGAAGCCCATATTAAAATGAGAAAAGTTAAGTCCAGGCAAAAGGGAGCAGATAAGGCCCAGGCCAGAGGAGGTTGTAACCATTTATAAATAAGGGAAATCGAGAGGGAAAAAAGGTTAGAAAGCATTGGGAGTGAAGAAATTCTCTCTCTATAATTGGGGGAAATTCTTTGTACTTTCAATTGGCGCCGTCTGTGGGAAGAACAGGAAGGATTGATTGATGTTGTTCCAGATCGAATCGGTTCAAAGCACTCTGCAAGGAAGACGATTAATCTGCGAAAGCTGAATCAACATTGGTGATAATACGATTTGTCTCGATGAGTCCAGGCTCCGGTTGATTTCGAGAAGTTGGAGTCCGATCCAAGCAGATTAGATCTGTGCTTGATCCGGCGAACTACACAATTGCGATCTGTTGTGATTACTGAATCCGGCCAGTAGCAGACTAAATTCAGCAAGTGTGAGTTCAGATCTGGTGTGCGCGCGTTAGCGGAACTCCAATCTGGTTAAGAAATCTGCAGTTGATGACTTTGCTTCGATCTGGAATGATGATCGGAGAGGCGAACTCAAATCCTTTGGAGAACGGCCAGCAGACGAAGGTCGATGAGCTGATGAACATGATCGATGCTTTGAGGAAAGAAAATACAGAGCTACGAGCTGGAATGGAGCGTCGTGAGGCTCCTGCAATTCCGAGGCCACCTCCTGAAGGAGAGGGAGCTTTACCGTCCCAAGCTGATCGTCAAGGTGATCCAGAAAGGTGTCAATCGTGTTGATCCACGTCGTGATGAAGTTATAATCGGTGATCTGCCTCCGAATGTCCGTCGAGTAGACGATCGAGAAGGATCTATTTATCTGGAACCGCATCACGAACGGATTATGAGGGAGGAAGCACCGGCATATGAACATAGGGTTGCGTTACTGTGGCGGAGTGAGTTTGCGGAGGACAAGTCGTTCGATCCGCCTTACCGACCTTCATTAGCAACAGTTGATTACCACAGTTAAGAAAGGAGATATGCCGATCGGGGGTTTCCGTCACGGTTTTCAAGGGAAAACGAAGCGTTGCGCTCATCAGCAAGAACGGTTGCATCTCCGTTCACTGATGAAATTCTGAACGCGCCGAATCCGAAGAAGTTCTCCATGCCGGTTTTCATTCTGTTTGACGGAACAACCGATCCAGTCGATCACATCTACCATATTCAGTTGAAAATGGCTTTGAATACTAATAATGATCCTTTGATGTGCAAATGCTTCCCTACGAGCTTGGCTGGACCGGCTTTCAATTGGTTCAAGAATCTGGTTCAGGGCTTAATCGCCAGTTTCCAGGACTTATGCGATAAGTTCATAAGCCAGTACTACAGGAATAAACGTCCGGCTAAGGATGTATCAAGCCTTTTCACAATGAAGCAGCATGAGGATGAACGGCTCCAAGCTTTTCTCACCCGGTTCAACCTCGTTAAAAACATGGTAATGGAGTGTCATCCATCCACAGCAGTCCAATCATTTAAACTCGCAATGAACCGGGGGACGCCGTTCCACACCAGTTGGTGGTTAATACGCCAAAGACCATGGACGAGCTGAACGAGAGAGCTGATGGTTTTGTTCGTCTTGAGGAGGAAGAGGCAGCTAATTCGAGGAAGACGTCAATTATTTCAACGGAAGAGAAGTCCAAAGCCAAGATCCGGCAAAAACAAGCTCAGCCGCAATGTCACCCCTCATGGAAGGCAGAGAAGAGGCCAAGGGAGAAGGAATCAGTTACTCCACTGAGAGTCACCTTAGCGAGGCTATACTAAGAGAACAAAGATAAGTTTCGTCCTCCTCTGCCAATCAGGCAACCTCTTGAACAGAGGGATCAAACTAAACATTGTGATTTCGATAGTGATTTGGGACATCAGACTAACGAATGCAGGAACCTAAGGAGGCAGGTAGAGATGCTAATCGCAAAAGGGGAATTTGCAAGCTATGTTCAAGGTCTGGCGCAAGAGCAGAACCGCCCAACTGAGCAGATCAAGCGGAACCAGAGGCCGAACCAACACAACTCTTAGCCTGTCCGGATTATAAATGCAATTCATGGCCGGCCTGAACAAACGACGGAGTCTGAAGAGTTGTTCAGAATGAGGTTACGCCAGGCCCAGTTGAAAAGAAGGATTGGCAGTGTGCATGCTTTGCACCAGCAGAACGCGTCCACATCGATAAAGTTTGATAAAACGGACTTGCTACGCGTTCAAATTCCTCATGAAGATCCATTAGTCTTCAGTCTGACGGTTGCAGAATGCCTAGTTCGAAGAGTTCTAATTGATCCAGGAAGTAGTGCAAATGTCATGCCCAAGGTGACGTTCGACTGACTGGAGATCGAACCCGAAAAACTCAAACCCATAGGAAATCAGTTGCTCGGATTTGATGGGAAGCAAGTGGAACCCATTGGAATGGTGGAATTGACAGTACAAGCTGCTGAGCGAGTTTTGACTGAAAGTTTTGTGGTCGTGGAAATTCATCCATCCTACAACCTCTTGATGGGCAGAGGATGGATTCACAGAGTTCAGGGTGTCCCATCAACCTTGCATCAAGTGTTGCGATGTTTGGGTCCAGATGGGACCAAGGTGATAGACATACATGGGGACCAGGTTGCAGCTAAAGAATGCTATTCAGTAACTTTGAAATCTACTGGAAAAGGAAAAAATCCCATCCGTTCTGCCAGTTCAAAATAACAATTACAGAACCCTCCTCCCAGCAAGGATAGAGAGGATGAGCCACCAGTTCTGACCACAGAACCCCTTCATGAAGTGAAGATTGAACATGAGAAATCGGACCGAACAACAAGGGTGGGAACCAAACTTACTGAAGAAGAAAAACTAGAGTTGACTGATTTCTTGACTCGGAATGCAAATGTATTCGCATGGAGCCATTCAGATATGCCAGGGATAAATCTTGTTGTATCCTGCCATTCCCTCAATATAGATCCAAATGCAAAGCCAGTGAAGCAAAAGCAGAGAAGATTTGCTCCATAACGAAATCAGATTATAGCTGAGGAGGTTGATTAGCTGCTTGAAGCCAGATTCATCAGATAAGTTCAGTACCCGGCCTGGCTCTCCAATGTTGTTGTAGTGCAGAAGAAGAATGGGAAGTAGAGAGTGTGTATCGACTTCACTAATCTGAATAAAGCTTGCCCAAAGGATAATTTTCTATTGCCAAGGATTGATCAAATGGTAGATGCTACCACAGGATATGAGCGGTTAACCTTCCTGGATGCTTATTCCGGTTATAATCAAATTCCCATGGATCTAGTTGACGAAGAGAAAACTTCGTTTGTTATTGAACGAGGGACTTATTGGTACAAAGTCATGCCGTTCGGATTAAAAAACACTGGAGCTACTTATCAGAGGCTGATCATCAAGATTTTTAAGGGCTAAATGGGAAGCACTGTCGAGGCTTATATTGATGATATGGTGGTCAAGAGTAAGAAGAAGAACGATCATTTAGCGCACCTGCAGGATGTGTTCGATGTGTTGCACTAGTATGGGATGAAGCTCAATCCGGCCAAATGCTCATTCGGCGTAAGCTCCGGTCAATTTTTGGGACATGTGGTCAATCATAGAGGAATTGAGGCCAACCCAGCACAGGCAGAAGCCCTGATCAGAAATGCAGAGCCAAAGACAATTAAGGAGGTGCAAGCACTCACAGGTCGGATAGCTACACTGAGCCAATTTATTTCCAAGCTTTCGGACCGCTGTAAACCTTTCTTTGATACAATTCGAGGGCACAGAAGGCAAACCTAGGGGGATGAGCAACGACAGGCGCTAACCAGCCTGAAGGAATACATGCGTTATCCTCCAGTTCTGTCTGTTCCCGAGCCAAATGAGAAGCTCTTTCTGTATCTTGGGGTATCCAGTATAGCGATTAGTGCCGTTCTGATCCGTTGCAAAGAAGGAAAGTAGTTCCCGGTGTTTTATGTTAGCAAAACAATGTCTGAGCCGGAAAGAAGGTACTCCAGGGCCGAACGAATGATCTTGTCGCTGGTCAACGCAAAAAGGAAGCTTAGACATTATTTTGAATCTCATCCAATCGTCGTTTTAACAACTTTCCTTTTAAGAATGATCCTGCACAAACCGGACCTATCGGGGAGAATGACCAAGTGGGCTATTGAATTGAGTTCATTTGATATTGCATACGAGCCCAGGACGGCAATCAAAGGTCAAGCGGTGGCGGATTTCCTACTTGAATATGATGTTGAAGATTTGGTGGAGGATTATAATTGTTCCTTGTGGAAGCTCTTCGTGGATGGCTCCTCGAATCAAATGGGGGCATGGATTGGAATCCAATTGCGAACACCAGAAGGAACTACGCTGAGCCAGGCGATAAGACTTGAGTTCAACGCAACCAACAATGAGGCAGAATACGAGGCGTTGATAGCTGGGCTGAAGTTGGCTAAAGAACTGAAGATTAAGAATTTGATTGCTTATAGTGATTCATAATTAGTCATTAGGCAAGTCAATGGGGAATATGGGGCTAAGGATAAGACCATGGAAGCATATCGAACTGCGGTTCTGCGTGAGGTGAAAGGCTTTGATCAGATCAGGTTCATCCAATTGCCGAGAGAGTATAACGAAGATGCCGACCGCTTGGCTTGTAGTGCATCCAGTTCTGGAGAGACTTTGGCTAGGGTCATCCCGGTTGACGTACTGATCCAACCTTCCATTTTTGATGGCTACCTAATCCAAGCGCTCAACATGTTAATGTTATACCATATGAGCCGAGCTGGATTGATCCAATCATGGCTTTCATACGTAATGGTGCACTCCCCGAGCAGAAGGACGAGGCAAGAAAAATTAGGTCCAACGCGGCAAAGTATGCCATTGTGCGTGA